TCTGTCCTGAAGCTGAGCTTCCTCTTTACATAGGCCGTGGTTTTGCTCACTTCTTATTTCTCTCTTGTTTTTCTTGCCCTCATTAGGCTACAGACTCAAACACTGAAGCCAGTCTTTAAAATTCTCATTTATCCCTTCTCCACTGATCAACAGAAATACAGGGAGAAATATGAGTTAATAAGTAAAGCGCTTCCAGTGTGTCTGTCCTTAATGTGTGCTCTCTAATGGTGGCTGTGACTCACTGTTGTCATGGTGTTTATAATAGTGGTAACGCTATTCCTAGTTGTATCATTAATCATTATTATTAATGGTAGTGGTCATATCAGCAGTACTATTGGTAGTGGTATGAAGAATGGAAGTAGTAGTCTCACTGACCCAGATGTCACCTGAGAATCACGTTTTAAGAACTGCCACACTAAAGCTACATATCTATGGATGCTTGATATTAGTCAGATTGGACAATGCAAATCTGTGGAAAAAAGATGAACTTTACAACAAGAGTTCTGATTTGAACAAAACCCACATTTTAAAGTGAGATATACAGCAAAATTTGGGCATTGAATGGATATTTGATGTTCATAAGCATTATTCTCTATTTGAGGTCTGATAATTGTTCTGACCTTTTAGTGAAACATATTGAAATATTTATTTACAAAGGACATGAGTTCTGGTGCTTGCTTTCTGGATATATGCTATCATACATAGACACCACTGTCTGGAGAGTTGATAATATTAAGCAATTAGTGTTCATTTTGTGCTGGTGTGACAATGGTTACATTTTTAACCTTTATCTTTTAAAAATACAAACTAAAATATTTATAAACTAAATATGATGTTAGCATTCATTGCAGAATAACCTGAGGTTTGGGAAATGGCTGAATGAGATGATTATCTGTGAGTTGAAAACTGTTGAAAGTGGGTGATAGTAGACACACAGGTGTCTATTATAACTGCTTTATCCAGTGTATGTTTGAAATTTTCCATAATAAAAAGTTTGAAAATAAATGCAGAGAGAGGCTATTCCGAATGTAAAATGGGTCATCTAAATTTATTTATGATCATTATAATAACAGGAGGAAGATGGCGCTTTCTAAAGTGTCAGGCGCTGTATTGCCTCATTTAACCAAAGTAGCCACCCTGCTGTAGCCATTATTTTGCTGATGAGGAAATGGAGGCCCAGGAAGACAAGCTGAAGTGTCATGCTGCTAGGAGACCGCACACCTAGAACGACCCAAGGGCCTTGTGGAAGCTTCCATCACTGGGCGGCCTCCGAAGCCACAGGTAGGGGCTTCAGGTAGAGTGGGTGAAACCTACACTGCCTCCAAGGCTTCCAAACTCTGTTCACATACTTGCTGGAAACTTCTTGGCTAGCATGACAGGGATCAAGGCAGCTGAGAGGTGGACCAGACATACATTTATCTTCCCCTAGGATCTCACCTGGACCACAACCTCAACTTCTGAGCGTGCCCCAGGAGCCCCAGCAAAAGAACTCTGTGGGAAATGGGGACTAAGATTAGTATCACAGCAGCTTCATGTCCCTCCTGAAGCTGCCTGGTGGTGCAGGGCCACATCACACTGCGATGGGCGCGTGTCTGGGTGGGTCTGGGTGGGGCTCTCCCTCAAGCACAAGGCACACAGTGACAAGGAGCTTCTGGACCCTCTACTGCCTCCTTCCCAGAGAGGCTCACACTCTTGGAAGAGGGAAGAGCGAGGAATAAAACCCAGCCATGAGAAAGAGCTGGACTGTGGGAGAGGGGACCTTCTTGGCCACAAGCTCAGAACTCTCCTCACTTTGGTCCTCAAATCCTGGCTCTCTGGAGCTTCATTCTCTGCCACACTGCCCCTTACCTCTCCTGGGTACCTGTTTCTTCTTGCCACATGGTCACTGCCTATGTGGCTCCCTCCGTCTAACATAAATCAGCTCATAATCATAGGAGTGAGTACTTAGCAGGCTTGTGTCCCAAGACAGTTCTGAAAGTGTGCTCACTCATCTCCCCTCACCTCATGGGTGACAGTGAGAACTCCTGATAACGGTCCACAGAACCTGGGCCTTGACAGCTTTACTGACTGGCTGGAGGTTCAATGGAGCAGTAGGGTACAGTTTGAAGGCTGGCCTTGGGACAGCAGTTCCCTCCTCAGGCCTACTTCAGTTGGAGTCATGACACCAGGTAGTCATGACGCTAGGCTCCATCCCAGCCTGGGCTCTCCCAGCTTATGTCCTGGACACGGCAGGCCCCAGGCCTCCCTCCATAGAGGGTCATCATGCAGGACTGGGACAGGCTGGGGCTTAAGCAGGACAGGTCAGATGGTGGCCCACCACCATGGCCACTCTTCCTGGCTGTCACTCCTTCAGCGCCCCTTGAAGCAGAGGACTGGTTCAGCTCCCATGTACCTCATTCCTGTACCTCTAGCCATGTGTCTCTCCCTTCTTGCTTCTCGATGACACTATCATCCAGGTATTTTTAGGATATCCTCCTTTTAGTATTGAAATTTTAAAAATTAGAATTTTTCTCCCTAATGGTGGTTCCAATTTTCTCTTGAGCCTAATACTCAACTGAAATGACTCATGGAATAATACCTTTGCAAGCAGTTGACTTGTGCCACAGACTGTGGCTTTAGATAATTTGGCATCTAAACACACACGTGTTACCACCAGAGCTCAGCTGTGACACCACATGCAGATAAGCCGCAGAGAAACCCGAGGCTGTGTGTCAGAGCCCTGGGGCTGGGAACTCCTGGGGGAAAGCCAGAAGCTGCTTCTACACAGAGACAGAGCCACGTCACGGCCTCAGGGCCAAGAGGCCCAGCCCCAGGCAGTAGGCCTGGAGAGAGCACTTGTCCTCTTCTCCCAGCCACCTTTGCTTGGGTGGGTGCCCGGATCTGGGCCTCGCACCCTCGGGAACCTTACCAAACAGCAAGCAAGTCCCCTCTGCTGCTCCCCAGATGTCTGCCTTGCCCCTTCTCCTTCCCAGCCAACTCCTCTGACCACAAGGCTGTCGCCTCAAAGCAGAAACAGCTGGAGCACAGAGTGCTCTGGCTCCCCCTCCCACTGGATGCTCCTTTCAGAATGCCTGGATCTTTCTGAAGCCTCTCATCCTATGTCAGGCCCCGAGTGTCCTCGGCAACCTTGCATTTACCTTCCAACTTCCACAGAAACACAGTGATGACGGCATCATGATGACACTGGTAATAATAGTGCGGCAGCATTTACTGGGAATATATACCATGCACACATCACTTACCAGGCCACAGTTCTTTGTGGCCTCCCAGTGACAGATGGTTAGGTGGAGGTATGAGGAGCACGGTCTGTGTGGCCTTGGTCAGTTACTGAGTCTCTCCATGCCTCCATTTACTCATCTGTAAAATGGGGCTATGAAGAGCATGGCTTTCCTGGTAGTGTACATACCTGTAAAGTGCCCCACACAGTGCTAGCACCTGGTAAAGCTCCATCAATGCTGCCATCTCTGGATAACCCTCCCACCTGCCTCCCTTACCACAGGGGAAGCTTGGAACCTGGCATAAAGGCCCCAGGGTCCCTGAATGCCAGAGCTATTGTTGGTGGCCAGGCCACCTGATTCCAGGGCCACTGCACTCCCAGCTTCTGGTGTTGCTGTCTGTCCACAGGCTGGCCACCACTTTTCCAGGGGCTGTTTTTAATGAACCGCGAAGCAGGAACTGACCTTGGCCCCTGTATATTCTCTGTTCATTGGAGAGGTGCCTGGCTATGGAGCAGATGATGCCACGCAGTGCCACTCCAAGACCACGGGCAGCTGGGGCAAGGTCGCAGGCCACCTTCCTCCACATGGCCTCGCCTGGGCCCTACTGTGTGGTGAAATGAATGCAGACGGGGCTTCCTAAGCCGAGTGCTATCATCCCTGCTACCTGGACCATCAAGCACACAACCTCCGAGCCCCTGGGGGTATCCTGCCTTGAATGGCCACGTAGTGGCTTCCAGATGAGACTCATGCCAGCACATATAGGACTCAGGGTAATTATCAAAAAGCATATCCTCTAGGGAGAGGATTTTAAAACAGGTAGCCATCTAAGTGGACCAATTAGAAAAGGCGTCCTGTCCTCAGGCCGACATGGCCCTCCTGGGTCACCCTTGTACAACACACGACCTGTTTGTTCTTAGTGGTCCTGTCCTCAGCTGGGAAAGGGCCGGGGCCTTGTGGAGACGGCACTGGCAGGGAGACAGCAGACTTGGATGCTGGGTCTATTTAGGCACAAATCTGATGGAGATGAAAGAAATTCCAGGGCCCCAATGTTCTCATCTGTAAAATGAGCACATGGAGCAAAATGTGCCCAAGATCCCTAACAAAAATGATGACCAGCTTGACATCATCAGCATCAAAAGAGGTAATGGTACCAATGTCAGAGCCAGTTACCAATGAGCCACTGTCCTGGGTGCTTTTTCTTAAAGCATCAGCTCATCCAATCCTCAAGTAGAGAGAAGGATCTCATTTTATCTGCCTATCTATCTATCTATTTATTTTATTCATTCATTCATTCATTCATTTATGGCACTGGGATATGGCACCCAGTACCTCAGATGCCTCTGAGCTGCATCCTCACCCTGTTTTTCTTTTTTTTTTTTGAAACAGAATCTTAGTAAGTTGCCCAAACTTGAATTTGTGATCCTCCTGCCTCAGCCTCCCAATTAACTGAGATTACAAGCATATGCCACCAAGCAGAATATTTTGTTCTTAAAGGAGCAACTGAGTTTCAGAGAGCCCAGCTAGTGGGTACTAGAGGTGGCACATATAACACTGAGGCTAAAGCCCATGGTCTGAGCTTCACTGACCCCATGCTGTGACTGCCCTGGGGTTAAAAAAAAAAAAGAATCCCAGGCAGCCCCTGTAAACTCCCAGGCCACCTCCTCACAGTCAGGTGGCCTGCTCCAGGGCCCTTCTTGCCTTGCCAGTCAGCTGTCAGTCAGTCGGCCAATGCACATTTGTAAACACATCCTACTAGGAGGTCCATCCAAGGATGATCCCTACCGTTCATTGTTCAGGGTCATTCTTGGGGGATCCAGGTTGGGATTCTCCATGGACTCCATCTGTGGACACCGCAGGAAGTAGTAGAGTGTGTGGAGGGCATCCGGGGACCAGGTGATGGGCTGTGGCGGCTGGCGGGCCTGGCGGGCGGGGCTGGTGCCTGGACACAAGGGGTGGCGCCCCTGCATGTGGTGCATGGCTCGAGAGACCAGGTCACCTGGGGGGGGGGGTGGGGAGAGGGAGAGAAACCCAAGACAAAATGAGATCACAGCCCACATGTCCCAGGGATGCTTGTGGCTAAGAGAACCAGCTCCTTTCCCTTCCTGCATAATTACTATTTACCCCAGAGTCAACAGGCGGAGGTGGAAACTGTCACCTAGATGCACAATAGCAATTTAGTTTCCCTTTCATTTTCAGTCTTGCCTTAACAGCTAGTTAAACACTTGGCTGGGCTGGTCTCATCCAGAATTTATGCTAATGTGGTTTCTTTTTCAACATCCCCACTCTCTCCACCACCCCAGGGGCCTTTACCTAGCTGTTTGACCAAGGGAATTTCCCTGGGTCTCTCCTCCCAGCCTCCAACAGCCAGTGACAAGCTCTGTGGAAATTCTCCCCTATGCTGTCATGTGCAAAGTCCCAGGACTTCAGAGCAGAGATGTACTTTGACCTCGATCACTCAATGCCAATGGCCACCATCATCCAATAAGTGCCACTATGTGCCAAGGGTGCAGTTCCCTAGAAACATGATTTGATTCTTATGATGCTCAGGGGTCAAGTTTTATTCTCATTTTATAGATGAGGAAATTGAGGCTTATTTGATAAATAAACATTCCCTGGCCCCATGCATTCTCCTGGTCACGGGGAAGCTGAGGGGCGCATAGGTGGGGTTTAACTAGTTGTGGTCATGTGGCTAATGAACAGAAGAGTCTATATTTGAATCCAGGTCTGTTTGACTCCAAAGTCCATGAACTTCACTGTGAACTGGGCTGAAACCTGCCCTATTGGAGTCTGTGGGGTCCCAGGCCCCCATATCCTGTGTTGCTTCTGTCCAAGTTGAATCTTTTCAACATCCCACCAGCCCTGGACAGGAAATGTCCCATCATTGTTTGAGGTCACAATGCTGAGAAAGGATGGGCTGAAATAGCTCCAGACACCTGCAGGCACCTCTGTTCTGGAACAGTGGCGCCGCTTCATTCTCCTCAGGCCTGAGAACTCTGGGGGCTTCCCTTAGGGGTCATCATGTCCCCCTCCCATGGTGGGTCCTCACAGACCCTTCTATAGGAAGCCCTGGGACATGGCTTACCCTAGGGCGGCAGACATGAACAGGTTATAATTTGACAGTGAAGTTTCTTCAAATGTACAGCAGAGCCAATCCATTCATTTATCCAATTAATCTTCATTATGCAGCTCTAGGAGTCTGGAGCTGCTTTGTAGTATCCCTGGAGCCCTGCACAGGGTCTCCTGCACACTAGGTGCTCGGCAAACGTTTGGAGAGTGAACAAAGAAAGCCTTGTGCATGCATCTCATTTGTAAAGACAACTCTGGTAAGGCATGACTTAAGCTTATTTACTGCCAAATTTTCCCAGGACAAGCACAGGGACGGTGTCTGGCTTCCAAACAGGTATGAGTGACACTCATAGAATTAGAGCTCTCTCCAGAGTCCTCCAGGTCCCCACTCTCCCCACACTGCTCATCCTGCAGTTGTAGTTAGCTGCTGGGGTGCTCCTGGTAAACCCCAAAACTGCGACAGTTGGGGGCAGCGAGGTGCTGACACCCAGCTTGTGTCCAGAGACTGAGTGTATGGGTCTGGGGCAGGACTCTAGCATCTGTAGTTTGTGAAAGGTCTCTGGATGATTCTAATGTCTAGTCAGGTTTGAAAGTCCTCAGAAAACTGATCAGAGCCTAGATTCCAGAGTCAGATAGGTGTGGCTTCAAATCAGGGCTCTGCTCCTCCCAGGCTGTGTGCCCTAGTATAACTGTGAGAGCCTCAGCTTCCTCATCGGTAAAATGGAAATGACAGTACCTACTCTGCCAATTTCTAGGATTCAAAGAAATAATAAATGTCAAACACTTCGCATTGCATTTGGCACAGAGTAAGTGCTTGGGGAGGTTGAATATAACACTAATATTATTCATTATTTATTAATTGCTATTATTCCTCTTTCTACAGTTATCTCCCGAGGAGCTCTTCCTTCCAGGACCACTGCCTGTGGCCAAACACTGCCCCATGTTTCCCAGGACAGGAGGAGCCTGAGCCCTGACTTGCTAGATCCCAGCCCTGCCCTCAGGCTCCTGGGTGGCAGAAACCGGCATCCCAACCAGCAGGCCTCTGGCCTCCCACAGCCAGTTGCACGGCTAAGCTGAAACCTGGCTCCTGTTTCTCCAGGTCTAAATGTCATAACATTTGGCAGGACCACAGGACCACAAGAGGGAGAAATCAGAGTCTGTGATACCATCAAAGAGACATGCTGTTGAAATATCATTCCAAAGGCTCAACAAGGTAGAAGTCATTATCATTAATTATTTTTATTGTTGTTTTATTGTTATTGGTGGAGGACCCTTTGGCAGCACATTTCTAGCCAGATTGCAGGAAAAGAAAAGGAAGCTGTCCCTAAAGACTTCCTAGTAGGGAAGCCAGGAACTAAGAGGTTCCCCAAAGCTTTAGGAGGACCGTGAAGGTGGCGGGAGCTGGAGGTTCCCGTCTTCTTCTATCCAAGTCCCCCTATGAATGGTTTTCTCTCCAAGTCCAAAAAGACTAGATGCCAAACATTAAGACCAAAAGCTTACACGGTTCTGTAGCCCATTTACGGCCAAAGACAGAAGCTTGCTCTGGTGATTTTTCTCCTTGGCTACCTTTTGTTTTCTAGGCTGTGTGACAGATAAACTCTCATTTAATCTCAAAACCACCTTGGAAGAGAGGCATTTCCATTTTGCAGAGAAGGAAACAAGCTCACGGAGGGTTGGTGATCTGTGCCGGTTGTACAGCTAGTATGTGAATCAGCCTCCCATGCGTGTGCTCCGGACGGCTGTACCCTACTACTGAAAGTGGTCTGTGAATTGGAACAGGTCCCCAGACTGTTATTGGTTCACCAGTTAACTTCAGAAGTGGACAGTGAATTTAAAAAAAAAAAAAAAAAAAAGCCCATAGCAATTTGACAAGAGTAATTTTATGTCTAATAATAATCTGAAAAAATTGGGCTTGCATTTCACATAGTCATAGTTTTGTCTATCTTATTTCATTTTTCTAGACATTCATTTTTATGGTACTTTACTAAGTTTCTATCTGTAAGGGAATGGCGGGGATGTCATCCTTGGCCCTTCCCCAGGGCTAGTTTATGAAGCCCTGGTCCTGCCGGGCTGGGCTCCTTCTGGAACACAGGTGGCTGCTTCCTTGTACTTGAGAATCCATTGATCCTAGGCTCAATGAAACCTTGGTCTGAAGCCCAGAAACACCCACCAGGCAGGGAAAAACAAGCCCTCAGCCCTTGTTAACCATGAAAGACTTGATTAGAGGTGCTATGGGTTTCACTCTGGTCTTTCCAACCCTCATTATGAGCCATCAAATAAAAACAGCAGGCGAGAGAGTCTGGAATTTAGCACTGTCTTCAAAAATAAGGCCTTTAACATCTGGCTGCCTTTAAAAAAGAAGTGCTTCGTTTTGTTTATTTCTTATTCCTTCCCTTTAAAATTTTCATGGGTACAGAGGGACAGAGCAAAAACATTAGGACCTGAGTTCTCGGTGTAGCTGGACCTTATACAAGAATGAAACCTCTTAACCTACCTGGCAGGCTGGTCTTGGCAGGGGGTAGAGAGTTAACGCATGTAAAAACCAGGGTAAACTTGAAGGTCCAAGGTGCTTGTTGCCAAGTATCACTAGCCTCATTAAGTTCTTTAGTCTCAGAGAGAAAAATTACAATATCTGCCTCTACCTCTGTCTCCTCCCTCCTCCACAGCAGGTTAGTAAAACTTCCAGTTTCAGAGGGAGGGACAGAGGGAACATGGTGCGTGACATAGCCTGTCTCTGAAGAGATGTTCTGCAGTGACCTGAGCAGTGGCGGGGCCGGGATGGGGACCACGCCGGGGTTTAGGAGATGGAGTTGGGTAGAACTCATTCCTTCTAGAGCACACCTGTGCACAAATGCATGCTCACCAATACACACATAAATCCTCAGGTGCAGTTCGCTGTGCCAGGGACTGTTCTATGCACTGGGGACAAAGCAGTGGACCAAAGAGAACAAGTCTCAGTCCTCATGGAGCTGACACTCTAGTCAGAGAGGAGAGATGAATGGCTATTTATAAGTAAATATGAGGGTCAAGTGGTGGTCAGCATAACCCCAAAGCCACAGAGGGTAGCAGAGGGATGAGGGCGGGAGCTGAATTATACAGTGCCATTTGGGTGGAGGCTTGAAAAAGTGAAGGACCCAGGTGTTTGGGTGACAATGTGGCAGGCAGAGTGGAAAGTTGGCTGGGGACAAGGAGGGCACTTGACCCAGGCTGATTGGCTGTAGTGTGGTCGTGAGAGAAGAGTGGCAGGGGAAGAAGCCAGATCATACATCAGCTCGTGGGCTATGGTGATGATTTGGGGCTTTAATGAGTGTGCTGAGAAGGGGAGAGGATAGATATTGAGCAGATGAGTGACATAGACCATTGCATGTTTTAAGTGGCTTCAACTTGGGCAGAGTTGGTAGCAGCAGAGGTGGTAGAAAGGGGCAGACTAGAACTCAGGATAGTTTTAGAAGGTACAGTCAACAGAGCTTAGTCCCCCCTGGGGAGGCTTCTGAGTATCCCCCATGTGCTTGGCTTGGACTGTAATGGGTGCCAGAGCCTGATCTTGGCCTTGGCTGTCAGATGCTAGATGTAGGCTGTTGGCCACAACTGGGAAGCCTACAGCCATAAGCAGCTGAGCACGCAGAAAGCCAGACCCCTTGGGAGGCGAGCTCTGATCCCTGTCCCTGTGACTGGGGGGACAGCACTTTTCTTCTCTAACCTCAGTTCTCCCATCAGGACAAGCCTGACTGAATTGTTCTGAGGAGTAAATGAGATCAGTGGCAGAGGTTGGGCCTTGCACAGGTTAAACCCTCAATTAATATTCAGTGGCTAAAGGAACCCAAGCTGCTCTCTCATGCATGGAGGTCTAAGAGACCTCACTGTGCTCAGGCAGGAGAGCTCATCAGAACACAGACTGTGCGTGGCCCAGGATAGATCACCGTCCAGGAGACATTTGTCAGGGTGGAGATCAAGCCTCACCCCAGAGCCCACTTCCTTTAGGGTCCCTCTAGGGCAGGGGACCCAGGCCACCAAGCACCAGCTCTGTCAGCTGTCAGGAGACAGGAAGCTGGAAGTCCTCCGTGACCTTGAACCTTCATTTCCTGTCCTGGGATGTGGCAAGAATAGAGGAAGCAGTATTGTGGAGGAACAGAAAGACTTGTCCTTCACTGTTCAGAGGCCAGAAAACAAACAAACAAACAAACAAAAAACCACCAAAAAAAACCCAAAAAACTAAAAACAAATTAAAACAAACCCTCACAAACAGGGAAGGCTGGACAGAATGAAGCTTTGTTTCCCATGCTGTGACCCTTGGGATGTGTCACCATCCTCCACTGGGTGGTCTCAACAGGGTAAGGGAGAAATAAGGAGGCAGAGTATGCAGTTTGACTTCTTAAATAAGTGGGGTAGGTAAGGAGAGGGAGAGCGCAGGATACAGCCTGGGATTCCCAACTGTGTCCCACAGAACCCCGGGGTCCTGGCAGATGCCGCAGCTGGCAGACGGGGGGCAGGAGCCATGGAACACACCCTCCTTCAGCCAGGGGGACACAACTGTTCCCTTCTGTTTACTATACTGAAGCGTTAGAAACAGTATTGGTTGTAAATTCGGAGGCTTTTAGGTCAGGCAGGTGACATGAACAAAGAAGGCCAGTTCTGTAGCAGAGCAGGGAGACTCCAGGCCACCCAACCAACTTCAGCTTAGCTCCGGGCAGGGCTGGGGAGCAGGGCTACTAGGACATCAGAGATTTCAAGAGAAACAAGAAGTCCAGATTTTATGTGTGGTTATGTCCACATGCTGACCAAGTCTTACATGTCCGTGGGCCACTAGTCTGCCACCTCAGGCCTACGAGGATCTAGCTTTCAGGGGGGCACATGGAGTTTAGAGGTAGTGGCCAGAACCAGATGGCGGACCCTTCCTTGCCCCCCCCCCCCAGACCCCTGCTCTGCAGTCCGGCCAGATGCCGAGGCCAACTTACTCAGCTCCGAGATGCTGCCCACGCAGGTGGCCAGGAGAGACTGCTCCAGGGTCCGGAGCTCCAGCTGGGCATAGGCATCGGCTCGCTCATCGTGGCCCAGGGACCCTCCATTGTAGGGACTGAAGTACGCGGGGAGGGAGAGGACACCTGTGGGGAAGCAAGATGGAGAGGTCACACTCGGGAAGGCAGGAAAGCTCCTGGGGCCTCGGTCGCCATGGCGGGGCTCAGCCCCCATCCCCTTCCTCTGATGCAGAGGGGCCAGAAGGGTGCACCTCTCCCTGAGCCTTGAGGACATGGGCCTTTTTGCTGTGCCTGGTACTAAGGGGGTCAGAATGAGAAGTGGCCCACCGTGGCTGTGGCTTTAACCTGCTGGATACCAGCCTTTGATGGAGTTGCTCCAGGACCTGGCCTACGCAGGCTCCCAGGCCACTCACTGAGTATCTACCGCAGGCCTGACTGGCCCCAGGATTGTGCTCCTCTCAGTGTTGTGTGATGACAGAGACGGTTTTGTTTCCATGGTGCTCAGGGGTGGCTGAGTCAGAGGTGCTCTCCTGCCCACCCAGAGGCCAGTGTCACCCACGGAGGCCTCTCATTTCCCCAAGTTATCCCCTTTTTTCTTCAAGCCCACATGGGGCTGGGAGCTGCCACTGAAGAGGAACACTGCCCTCTCCACTCCAAGAAGGGGACTCATCCTAGCCCTTGGCCAAGTCCAATTAGCGTTTCTCATTAGCACTTCAACAGCCAGGGAGCAGAGCTGTCAGGATAGATCCCAGGGGGTGACAACATGCAAGTCTCTCCAACTCATTGTGTGTCTTCTTAGAAAGCACCAGAAAAAGAAGACAACTGGCCATTTGGTTTTTTGGGATTGGCTCACTTTATTTAGCATTATATTCTCCAACTCCAACTATTTACCTGCAAATGCCGTGATTTTATTCTCTTTTAATGCTGAGTAATATTCCATTGTGTATAGATGCCACATTTTCTTTATCCATTCATCTACTGAAGGGCATCTAGGTTGGATCCACATTTTAGCTATTGTGAATTGTGCTGCTATAAACAATTGATGTGGCTGTGGGAAGGTGGGTAGGAAAGATGGCAGAATGAGACGGACATCATTACCCTAAGTACATGTATGAAAACACGAATGGTGTGACTCTGTGTTCAACCAGAGATGAAAAATTGTGCTCCATTTGTGTAATATGAATTGAATTGCATTCTGCTGTCATATATAATTAATTAGAATAAATAAATTTTTTTTTAAAAAAAGAAAGCACCTACAAAACACAATCAGCCTGTTAAAATTACATGTTGCTTCTTTAAAGCATGTGGCCACAGAGATTCCAGTTGCCATCAGAGCCTGGGATTCCCAACTTCTGGTAACTGCTGTTTCTCTCTCAGTGCTATTTTTTTTTCCCAACCTTCCACCCCATTTTTTTTTTCTTAAGAAAAATACCCACAGAGATTTAGTCACCTTTGGGAAAAGCCTCCTAAAATTTCTTGAGATAACTGGACAGCCCCTGGGCTGTGGCCAAGTCTGGGTTAGAACCCCTTGTCCTGAGCCCGTGTGATGTGACCAGGATGCACCGGGTGCTGCAGCAGAGCAGGACCACGGGGCCTTGGAGTGGAAGTTCTAGGCTGGCACTTGACCAGTGGGGTGCTCTCGGGAAGGTTCCTTAGCCTCTCTATGCCTCAGGCCATCATCGAGAGCCCCAGTCCACAGTACCAGTCGTCAATTCCTGCACCAGCACATGGCTCAGAGCGAGGGCTATCCTGGTGCTATTTTATTTTATTTGGGAACACAGGCTTTATTTATCTGTCTCATTCATTCTTCATATTCAAAATCGAAGGACTGACACTGGAAGAGCATCCAAAACTCGCTCAGGTAGGCAAATGGAACTAAGATTCAAATTCAGGTCGGGATGACACTAGAACATGAACAACTGACCCCCACCCGGCTCCCCACTCCATGAGCCCAGAGCCGAATGAACACATCACCCAGGCTCCCCACTGACTGACCCTGTCTGGTGGGTCTTGTGTGATGACAGCCCCTTCCCACCCATGGACACCCCCTACTGAGCCTTGAGTCTCTCTCTCTGGGTGCAGGGCAGCCTTCCCCTAGCCCAGGCCCCGGGGTGTCTTCCTCCACCATTCTGTAGGTTCAGTGATTGATACATATCTGCTCTTCCCCAGAGCCAGGCCTCCCTGTCCTCCTTCACGCTGAAGTGACCGAAGCCTGCCCCCATGTGCCTCTCTTCAACCCTTGTAGATGACAGCAGGCCTGCCACCCGAGCCAGCGCTGACCCTGCAAAACATGGCATCAAAGCAGTTGTTTCCCAGGGAAAGCTTTGTTTGCCTAGAGGAGGAGGAAGAGCATGTGACGAGGTCTCCCCCAACCTCCTGCCCAGGCCCTGTTCCTCAAGCAGCAATTCTCCCTGACCACTGAGTAACCAAACACATTAGGAAGAGCGGGTAAAACAAAAGAGAAGGCCATCCCAACGACAAGCTGCAACCCACAGTCGGGCCCACAGCTGCCAGAGCCCTGGCTCAGCCCGGCTCCTCCCCTCCTCTCCCTTACTCCACTATAGAAACGACGCTGGAGACATGTGGATCAAATTTACAGTGCTTAGGGCAAGGGGACAGGAAATTCAGCTGATTTGTCAAAGGATTCCCAGAGAGAAATATTATGTCAATAGATCCAGTAACAGGAGCTGGCAGCTCCATTAATACCAGTCTCCATTTTCGTAGTCCTCACCCACCCAAAGGGGCTTTCACTTAATACCATGGCAAAAGTAATTATGAACCTATCGTTAATAATAGCAACGGATAGCATCATGTTTCTGTGTGCCTTTTGCTTTTAAGAGACTCCTGACATCTAGTAACTGATTATTCTAGCGAGGGAGACGGGCAGTGGTGGTATGGGACGACCACAGCTGACTTTCACTGAGGGCTTGCTTATGTGCCAGGTACTGCAATAGCAGTTTGCATATGTCACCGCCTTTATGCCCAGGACCGCAGGAGGTATTACCCCATCTCACAGATGGGGAAACTGAGGCAGGACAAAGTTTAGTGCCTTGCCCAAGGCTACAGAGGTTACCAGAAGCTGAATGGGGCTGGAAACTAATCTCTTCATTCTTGAGCTCCTGAAATGAAATGACTTCCTCCTTTGGGGCACCTTGTCCTTCTACAATTAAGCAACCCCTAGGATATTTAAGGAAAGTCTGTTTGGGCCTGAGGTTTGATGGGAAGAAATGCAAAGGCAGAAAAAGGACTCCTGGAGGCCTCCCCTGAAACCACAGCGGGAAGGCTCCCCCGCCCCCCCCCCCCCCCCCCCCCCCCCCCCCCCCCCGTCTTTCCATGCAGCTTGTCTTCCCGCTCTGCTCCTGAAGAAAGCCTCCTTCGCATCAATCCTAAGTTTTTCTCGGTCCCACATAAGCTCATTGTTCAGCAATTCTTATTAAACACGGAAAATATTTCCTTTACACTCTCTCATTGCCTCCATGTCTTCTTTTCCCAATTCCCACAGGGGCCCGGGGCAAGGTCATGTCTGGGAACAGGAATTTCAAAAACAAAGGAAAACCCCTAAACCAAAACAAAAACAAGAGAAAAGGCATCCCTTTTCTTTCATTCAGTAGAATCCTTACGAAAATTTATTTGTTCTAGTCATGATGGAAAAGCAGGCATGCAGGAGTGTTCCCTTCACTCCTTTATTAATTAATAAGGACCCCAAATCAATTCCTGCTACCGAGGAGACCCACCAGCAACACTGGGCTCATCACTGTGCAGATGATGAGACAGAGCACGTGACCGGGTTGTCCTCTGCCTCGTTCTTCTATAAATTCTGCATTTCTGTTGGGACAGCGCTCTACTCAACGTCCTTTTGGTAAGGTGAAGCCTCCACATCTCCCCAGTGATAAACAGGACCATAATCTTCAATTTTTCTCATTCTGGCTGCCTAACCCTTGAACCTTGGAATTCTTATCTTGCTCCTTTACTGTCTGCTCTCTGAGTGCAACAGGGCATCCACCGGGTGCCCACAAGAGACTCTGAGTCATCCCTACTAGCCGTCTCCTCCTCCCCCACCTCCAACCCACCACTGGGCCTTGCTGCTTCTGCCACCTTAATATCTCAAAAACCTGTCCCTCATTCTGGAGCCTTCCAGGATCCCCACCGCCCTCCTGAAGAAATCCAAATACCTCTGCACAGGTAAGAATACATAACATCTTTCCTTTAGATTAAGGAAGAAAATAATTCTGCCAGTAAACTGGCACCTCCCAGGACATCGACAGGTATGAAGCCTAACACCCCAGAGCCTCATTTCTCTAGCCTGTGTTCCAAGTCTTGGTTCTGCTATGGTCCCTGGGGTTGGGGTTGAGGTGGAGATGGGGCAGCAGCCAGCCCATTTACTTTCCAGGTGATTTTCCACTAGTGCCCAGAGAAGGCGCTATTGAGTGAGGTGGGCAACCCGACTGGTCCTGGAGGCCACCATCTGGGAATCTAACCTGGATTTCTGCTTGCAGAGGTACAGCCTCCTCCCAGCAAGTGTCAAGCCAGAGCAGATGGCGGCACACTGGGTTGACAAACCAGACTTTCAGTGCAAAGGAATCGATGGGGATTTCATCTATGTATCTGCCCAGATGGGGGGTTAATTTGATGTCCGGCACTGGTCTCTAGGCACCCACTGACCCCTAGAAGCATTTCCCCCTTATCAGCTCAGAGTTGAACTTCTGAACTGTCAGCAGTGGGAACATAGTGGGAACACAGCCTATTGCTATTTCCTATGGTTTAATTTCCCTCCCAGCTATGACACCATGCTCCCATGCAGGCTTTTCAATGCAAAGACATCCTTTCTGTGCAAACTGGATGGGGGTGTAGTTCAGCTTTTCTGACCATTTGTCAAAAAGCCATCAAGGCTGGAACTTAACTGACCTCCAAACTCAGCAGCCCATTACTGACACACGACTTGTCAATGTGCCTTCTGAGAATGACCCCATGGTCTGATGCCTCGAGAATCTCTGCACAGAGCCATTGCTGTCCCTCTGCCACGACCCCCCGCCCCCAGATCTGCCAGCCCTGGCAGGGATTTCACTGGCCAAGGCAGCAAAGGCCACTGCCTGTCCCGCTTCTTTGAAATGAAAACCAGGATGCAG